GCTTCACTCAAAGATTTCCTGCAAATGCCCTACGATTATTTAGGTCCGACTGTAAAATTGAGGCTTTCAAGTCAAACATGCAAAACGTGTGAAACGTGTGGTCTTTATCATGCTTCCGTCAAGTCACTAAATCGTCACATCGAAAATATCCATAAAAAGAGTAAACACGCACACTGATAGGAAAGTTAGACCTGTAAGTATCGCTGCTCGTCGTGCTAATGAACTGATGTGCATTATTCAAAATTTAGAGCACCATGATGTTGAATGGCTTGGTGAGAACGACGTAGACATTCCAAAATCCGATGAAAGCGAGCAAACTCACAACACTGAGCAGCAATCGAAGCAATCCAATGTCATCGGAAACTTAGAATCATGGGTTCGGGTTTCATGGACTGAAGACTGTTAATTTGAATTTAATATGTGTACCAAAAATTTATAATAAGATATAATATTTTTGTCCTTTACTCTATGTTGAATACCTTATCAGTAAAATATAATCTCTATCCTAAATCCATTTTCTTATTTTTCAAATTATAATTATAACTTTATAATTATAATATTAAAAAAAACAACACATTAATTGACAAATGTTTACGTAAACATGGGGGAAGGGGTAAGAGCTTTGCTTACTCTTGATGACAAGGGGGATGGGGGGGTAAATAATTGTAATAAATCTGCTTACGTAATACTTGAACGGCCAACAACTCGCCTGCTGACCTGGTCGAATAGATTCGGGCACTGTGAAAGAGCTATTTCTATGCGAACTGCACTTTTGTACCCTTGTCGGATGAACACGCGTTTTTGGCATTTTTATTGTACAGTTTAAAAGTCACTACAACTCTAACAACACATAGGGTGGGAAACACCAGTGAAGGTGATTTAGAACTGATGCAGATCTCCATAAGGTCGCACTGTCGACCAGGCTTTCTTCGTAAAATTGGTAGATTGGAGAGTTCAGGTTATCAGGTTCACAGATGCGCGAAAAAGTATGCAAATGGTACTCTGCTCCTGCTATGAGATAAAAACGAAATTTAAATTCATAGCATGGATACCTTCTGCCGTTTCTGTGACTCTAATACAGATCTGTATGTTTCTGAGTATCGGAAAGTCAACCAGATCGTTCTCGTAAAATTAATGGACTACGAGTTGCTATCAGGATCGTAGAAACACGGAGAGTCATGTGAATGGTACTCTCATGCTATGATGTTGAGGCCAAATTTTGGAATATCTATGCTCCTCGTCGCTTTTGCAATCCTGATACAGATTTATAAGCTTCTGAATATCGCACTATCGACCACAGCTTCTTCACAAAATTGGTAGACTGGGGAGTAATAAGGCTCACAGAAACACGAAATGGTATTTTGCTCCTGCTATGAGATAAGAACGAAATTCAAATCCATGGCATCGATACCTTTTGTTGTTTCTGCGATCCTGATACAGATCTACCAGTTTCTAAAAATCGCACTATCGACCACACTTTCTCGTAAAATTGATACACGATGGGTTGCTATCAGGACCACAGAACCGCGAGGAGGTATGTGGATGCTACTGTGCTAAAAATTTATTAAATCCGCGGTAAAATTGGTTCCGTATAAATATGTATTATCTCATCAGTCGAATACAGAACTCTTGTTTTTGTCAATTTTATAATTATATATTTAGCGGAATACTAATTTAGTTTTGAATTCTGTTTTTTGGTGTTCGCCACTCCAACACTATCAAAGCAAGCCCAGAAACAAGACTAAAAAAAAAGTTGCAGGTGTTTTGTAGTTTTGCTGCTAATGTACGGTGGCTTATGAAGGAAACACCCGCTCAAAGGAATGCGTGCTTATTGTCGAAGTTTATACAAGTGACGTCTCTGTCATTAATTGCAATAGCGTCATTTCGGCCTCCCTGTCTCGTCACGCATGCGCTTGATGTAGAAACAAGTATTATCACACAAATGAAGGAAAGTTTTGAGGCGTAAACAGCAGGACACATAGAGAAAGTACGTTTTAATCGCAGCGCTCAATAAAACTATTTTAACTCCAATATTTGTTAGGATACTTGTTTTCCAGCACAAATGCTATAAATTGTTTGCCGCATTCTTTTCGACATAACTTCAAAGGGCTATCTCCGGCTCCGGGAAAATCCGGGCAAAGTGAACATCTTACGAATTCTGGGACTATTACCGGGATATGAAATTTATTTTATTTATCTTAAAAAACTTAACAAAAAACCTTGGTTGCTTGAAAACATCGAGGATATAAACAACAAAAACTACAAAGATGCAAGTTATCACATTTTTCAGATGTCTCATGTATACGTATAACTGAGATAGTCTTTAAAACATACGTTAGACACCATAGAAATCCATTCCGCTCTGATCGTTGTAACCACATCCACATTTACTTGATTTTTATTGGTCTAGTATAGAGGTAGTTCAAAACAATCAACAAATATTATATATATGAGACCAAGATCGTATTATTATTCCGGATATTTTAGAATATCATTTACATTTCCAGAAAATTTGTAGAAAATTATTTCCTAGCGTTTTGCAACAGCCCCGGCAGCTCGTCAATTGCCGTGCCCTAGATAATAATAATAAATTACTTTTATTGCTCATGTAAGTACAGAAAAAGAAAAAGTAAATAAAAAAATTAGTATATCAGTAATAATAATAACAGCAAGAGAAAAGTTAAACGTTAACACAGATACATATAGACATATGTTTCAAAACTATATACATATACTAAGTATATATAATATAAATCCGAACACCCAGTTTAAATGGTTTTATTTTAATAAAAGTTGGTGAATGTATTTATCTTACTGTAAATAACAAGTGAAAAAATTTTCAGCCTTATCAGTTGGACATTCCGGTTTTTATACTGCTTTTTTTTAATTCACTAACGCTCTAAAAATGAATATTTCAGTCGCAGTAAAGAATCAACGTTGGCGGATTTTGGTTCTTGACATCCTTTACGATCGGTTACGATGCCTAGAGTACGGAGACCTATACGATTTCGTCAACTTAGTGAGTTTGATAGGGGCCGTATAGTGGGACTTCGGGAAGCTGGACTTTCTTTTCGGGCAATTGCAGTTAGTGTGCAAAGAAGTGTAGACACTGTGGTTAGGTGTTGTCAGGCATGGCTTCGAGAAGGCCGTACGCAAAGAGCAAGGGGCACTGGACGCCGCCGTAGAACAACAGACCGTGAAGATCGCCGCCTAAGATTATTGGCCTTAAGGGACCGTTTCTCCACTACCAGGTCTATTGCAAATAAATGGTTTGCAGAACACGGAAGACCTATTGGCATGCGAAATGTTTACCGACGAATGAGAAGTTTTGGCTTGTTTTCATACCGGCCACACTGGGTCCTCCCTTTAAATCGAGAACACCGACGTAATCACCTTGAGTGGTGCAGACAACGGTCACTCTGGGATCAGGAATGGAACACTATTGTCTTTAGTGACGAGTCTCGATTTTGTTTAGTCATGCACGATGGTCGTGCCATGGTTAGAAGACGACGTGGTGAAAGGAGGAATCCACAGTTTTCTGTTGAAAGACATGTTCATCACACTGTTGGAGTTATGGTTTGGGGTGCTATAGCTTATGGTTCCAGGTCACCTTTAATCTTCATCAGAGGTAACATGAACGCGCATCGTTATATCCACGAAGTTCTAGAACCCAATCGTTTACCATATCTTGACACCCTGGCAGATCCAACTTTCCAACAAGATAATGCCCGACCACATGTTGCAAGAGTCACAATAGACTTCTTTCAACATAATGATGTCACATTGTTACCATGCCCACCAAGATCTCCCGACTTATCCCCTATTGAGCACGTGTGGGATATGATGGGTAGGAGATTGCTCAATTTGCAACGTCCTCCTCAGACTATAGAAGCACTTCGAGAGGAGTTGGTGGTTGCCTGGAATGAGATACCACAGGAGGACATTGACCACCTGATCAGAAGCATGCCTAGGCGCGTTGGAGAATGCGTAGCACATCAGGGTGCATCCACACATTATTAAAGGTCAATGGGCTTTAAAGCAGTGCAATCATTTTGAAATTTTTATCATTTACTTATTATGCTCCATTAAGTACTTATACAAAATTTTATTAAAATAAAGCCATTTAAACTGGGTGTTCAGATTTATATGTCAGTTAGTATATCATATTATACATCCATAGATCACATATAACTATTGCAGGCACCTTGTCGGTCGGCCAGATCAGTGGAAGGCGGGTCTGATCTCATTTTTTTGATGGTTTGTTAAGATTTTCTCGCTTATGATCAAACATCAAATTTCCCTTTTGCAGCACAACTTTATGGGATCAAACCCAGCAAAAAAATGATAATTTTGTCAAACCAAAGACTCTGTATCTCCCTGATTTTCGACAAAGCTTTTGAGGTGCTTGGTCAGGGTAATAGCTTTACCATAATTTGGAATAGCTTCTGTTGGTACTGGAACCACATCGACATCAGAATCCAGTTCCTTACACTTAACTTCTGCTTATTGTGAACTTCTTGAACAATCTCAGTTTTTTGTTTAAACGTCAGAATTATTCTATTTGTACCCATTTCTTCAATGAATCTGTCTCCCACTGTGCCTTTTCGCATAGACGTTAGACTAATACTGAATGGAAATTTAATCGAAAGCCTGTACCCAAAGAATAAAAGTCCCTAATTCATTTCGGGCAGAAATGCACCAAATAGGCTGCGTTTGTCGGTGAATCCCCGGAATACTCGAGAAAGTGCCAGCGAAGATGGCGCGCGGCATAATTGAGACATGCGATACTCTTAACAGAAAAAAATAATACAAGCCGTTTCTTTTTATTTTGTTTTTTGTCCGGTTAGGAAAACATTTTCCCGTGTCCGCGTTCGTTCAAGGGAATTTCCGTCCAAAAGAAAGTTAATATAATAATGTACAAATTATATGAGAGTCGGTTGGGACCATGGGAAACTGTCCGTTTTTAATTTCTCTGTAATGATATTTTACGATATTCACAGGTACTAGGTGGTACGTCAGTTATGAACGGTATGATGTATATGCGTGGGAGTCATAAGGATTACGATGATTGGGCTGCAATGGGCAACCGAGGCTGGAACTACGAGGAAGTGTTACCTTATTTCCTGAAAAGTGAAGACAACCAAGAAATTGAAGAAATGGACAAGGGATACCACTCTGAGGGAGGGCTGTTAACTGTGTCACGGTTTCCATATCATCCTCCATTGAGTAGGGCGCTCATTAAGGCTGCCGAGGAACTGGGTACGTATTTCAGATATGAAGTATTTGTTTCACTTACTAATCAAGTGCAGTACCTATCAGCATTATCGAAATTCTTCTGAAACACTTATAATACTACTTTATAATACTATAACCTCATGTACAAAAGGAGCACATAGTCTGCGGATAAGTAGCGTGAAATACATAAAATAAAAAGGAAAAGTTCGCAGCTATAAAGTTTGTTCACTCTTCCACCTATCGTCAAGTCATCGTTGGTTATCAGAGCGGTCCGTGGGACCTTTGCTCTTGAGTCACAGTGTCAGTTTGTAAGTTTGTCAGGTCTGGTAACCCAGAAACCAGACAATTTTAAGGAAATCCACCTATCGTAATAAAGTTTGAAGCTATTGACTGACGTAGCATTAACCACACTTTCTATTAAATTGTTCCAATTATACTAGGTGACATATAAATCCGAACACCCAGTTTAAATGGTTTTATTTTAATAAAATTTTGTATAAGTACTTAATGAAGCATAATAAGTAAATGATAAAAATTTCAAAATGATTGCACTGCTTTAAAGCCCTTTGACCTTTAATAATGTGTGGATGCACCCTGATGTGCTAAGCATTCTCCAAGGCGCCTAGGCATGCTTCTGATCAGGTGGTCAATGTCCTCTTGTGGTATCTCATTCCAGGCAACCACCAACTCCTCTCGAAGTGCTTCTAGAGTCTGAGGAGGACGTTGCAAATTGAGCAATCTCCTACCCATCATATCCCACACGTGCTCAATTGGGGATAAGTCGGGAGATCTTGGTGGCCATGGTAACAATGTGACATCATTATGTTGAAAGAAGTCTATTGTGACTCTTGCAACATGTGGTCGGGCATTATCTTGTTGGAAAGTTGGATCTGCCAGGGTGTCAAGATAGGGTAAAAGATGGGGTTCTAGAACTTCGTGGATATAACGCTGCGCGTTCATGTTACCTCTGATGAAGATTAAAGGTGACCTGGAACCATAAGCTATAGCACCCCAAACCATAACTCCAACAGTGTGATGAACATGTCTTTCAACCAAAAACTGTGGATTCCTCCTTTCACCACGTCGCCTTCTAACCCTGGCACGACCATCGTGCATGCCTAAACAAAATCGAGACTCGTCACTAAAGACAATACTGTTCCATTCCTGATCCGAGAGTGACCGTTGTCTGCACCACTCAAGGCGATTACGTCGGTGTTCTCAAGTTAAAGGGAGGACCCAGTGTGGCCGGTATGAAAACAAGCCAAAACTTCTCATTCGTCGGTAAACACTTCGCATACCAATAGGTCTTCCGTGTTCTGCAAACCATTCATTTGCAATGGACCTGGTAGTGGAGAAACGGTCCCTTAAGGCCAATAATCTTAGGCGGCGATCTTCACGGTCTGTTGTTCTACGGCGGCGTCGAGTGCCCCTTGCTCTTTGCGTACGGCCTTCTCGAAGCCATGCCTGACAACACCTAACCACAGTGTCTACACTTCTTTGCACTCTAACTGCAATTGCCCGAAAAGAAAGTCCAGCTTCCCGAAGTCCCACTGTACGGCCCCTATCAAACTCACTAAGTTGACGAAATCGTACAGGTCTCCGTACTCTAGGCATCGTAACCGATCGTAAAGGATGTCAAGAACCAAAATCCGCCAACGTTGATTCTTTACTGCGGCTGAAATATTCATTTTTAGAGCGTTAGTGAATTAAAAAAAAGCAGTATAAAAACCGGAATGTCCAACTGATAAGGCTGAAAATTTTTTCACTTGTTATTTACAGTAAGATAAATACATTCAGCAACTTTTATTGAAATAAAACCATTTAAACTACGTGTTCGGATTTATATGTCACTTAGTATATATAATAAATATGAAACCACTGTCGTCATAAACGGCTCCTTCTACAGTTTAAAGCTGCATGATATAGGTGCTTCAGGTTGGTGCCAATCAAGCCATAAAGTATTCCAAAGGTAACTATCAGATCGCTTCGAGTTCTTCGGTTGGAGAATATGGCCAAGTGGATTAACTCGAGCCGATCTTCATAGCTGGGTGTGCGACCTCCAAACAGGATTCGAATTGCCCGACGCTGTAATGTAACTCTTGAAGCTGAATCCTCTAGCTATCTCTCCGGTTCTTTTTAATAAATTATTTTATAAACGTTCCGTGCAGTCCTGTTCACAGTCAATGATCAATGTCTATTGCTCCACATGAGAGTTTAACCGATGTTAGTTAGATTTGAATCTATCATTGAAGATATCTTGTTTGTGATAGTGTTCACGTAGATACTATTAACCCATTTATGACTAAAGAGATGCAAAAAACTTTTTTTTTATTACGAGTATTTTTTAAGAAACCTTATTAAAAGACGACACTTTGGAGGTATTTTCAATTTATTCTAAAAGAAATACATAAACAGTTAGTTTTTTAGGATGTACTATACATAGTACATTAGGAATAAAGGTAGCTATAAGAATAATAATAAAAAAAACATTGAAAATAGTACAAATATTTTGAAACACATCAATATTGTAAATTTTAAAGAGTATGATATTGAACAAAACATTTCACGTGAAGGCCGACATCACATTTTCTACATCTAGTAGTCGTGCGCTCATGACAGTATGCACACCTTGTTTGTTTGCCTTGTGGAATGACTAAATGTCACCAAAATTTCTTGATTTACCTTGCTGGTACATATAAGTCTTCTTATTTTGTGTCAAGATAGTCGTAGCTACACTTCTTCTAAATTGTAATTGATCCACGTTATTTCCTCTCTTTTTATAAATATGCCCGGCGTTTGTCAGCGCCATATCTACACATTGAGAGATCAACGAGAAATACCATTTTTGCCTCGGATTTGTACTCTGTATTGAGCTATATTCTGGTCTGACCTATCCACCCCGCCCATACATTTATTATACAGCTTGACAACTTTGGGCTGATCTATATACACAAACTTTTTTTCTTTTTGAGAATACCGCTTTACTGAATTTACTGGTTCAATTCCAATCGCTGTAGACCCAAAAGTTACAATATTGTTGTCATTCCATTTTACAAAAATTAAGTTTTTATCTTTTACTTTGGTATAATCAAACACTCCACGTTGTTCCTTTTTCATAAGTTTTGAATTTTTCAAAGAAGACATGGGTATACGATTTTCACTAATTGTTCCTGTACCACATATGCCTTTTTCAGTCAAGCTTTCAAACAAAGCTGGCGAAGAAAAAAATTATCAAATACAAAATGAAACCTAAGATTTGCTCAATTGCTTTTTAGCCTATCAGCATAGCTCAATACAACTGATGCGCCAACACCTAAAGATATGTAAGCCGCGTAACCATACGTCGAAGCACCCTGATAAAGTAAAGTAAGTAAAGTAAAGTAAATTTATTAGCAGCAGATTCAACATGTATACAGTTTTTTACATCATATTAAATATATAGACTTTACAATTATTGTATAATATTTAAATCCAGCTATCTATTCTTAAAATTACCCACTATTGCTAATAGTTTTAGATGCATAATTGTATTCAAAATACTGTGTGTGCACCCCATTCACATTGTTGTAGTGTAACTTTTTCATTGAGGTTCTTAATTCTAGTTTACAAAGAGAAAAAGAAATATAAAAATAGATCAAACAAATTCAAAGCTATTATGTTTTATCTTAAATTTTAGGAACTTAATACCTTTAATGCTACAGGTTTTTATATTACATAATTAATGGCGTATAAGGTTCAAACCATAAGATGTAACCAAGAGTAGTAGCGCCAACCCAAAATTTGAACCCATAACGTATTGGTTTCCCGTGGATATACTGTTTACAACCATGTCGCCCTTTGTATGGAACCATTGCCTCATCAATACTATGATGCTCTTCTGGTACTGCGCATTCCAATTTTTTTTATTTAGGTGATTGAAAAGACGCCTTAGTTTAGCAAATTTATCATTTGCATCCAGAGCTTCATTATTTAGGAAGTGAATGTGAGAGATTATAAATTCAAATTTATCGCGAGAAATAGCTTCAGAAACAAGTCAACTACTCGAATACCTCGCCGTCCAGATCGACTTCCTGAACATCAATCACCCCGCTTCAGAGGTAGTTCTTCTCGGTGATTTCAATGCCCATAATGAGCTTTGGTTGGGCTCAAATAAGACCGATGCAGCAGGTCGTGCAGTCGAAGCGTTCGCTCTTACTCAAGGGCTGACCCAGCTGGTGACGAGCCCTACTTTTTTCCCCCGCGTCTCGTCACACGCCAGTAGCCTGCTGGATCTCTTTCTGACCACGCATCCTGCCCCTTACAGCACTGCCGTCCTGTCCCCCCTGGGTAACTCAGATCACGGTGTTGTGGAGGTTAGGTTTCGGTCAGAAGCCGCTGTGGCCGCAGAAACTCGCACAGGCCGCAAAACTTGGCATTACGGACATGCCGACTGGGAGGGGCTCAGAGACTTCTTCTCTAGCTTTCCTTGGAGAGATGTCTGTTTCACTGACGCGGATGCGTCGACTGTCTGTTCTTCAATAACCGAAATTATCCACGTCGGAATGGAGGAATACATCCCTCACACAGTGAAAGCTCCTAAACCAGGGTCCAACGGCTGGTTCAACAAATCGTGTGACACTGCTCGCCAGCAGAAGATCAAGGCCCACAGAACCTACTTACAAAACCCCTCTGTAGAGAACAGACAAGCCGACGTCGAGTCCAGAAACAAATATAACGAAGCGGTTCGCAATGCCAAAACCCAGCATGATATAAAAGTTAGGCACAGGGTAATGTCGCAGCGCAATGGCAGTCGGTCTTTCTGGACGTTGGCCAAGCAGATTGAAAGGAACTTCTCACACAGTAGCCTTCCACCACTTACGTGTCAGGATGGAACTATTGTATTCGACTCAAAGGCCAAGGCGGAAGTGCTAGCCAAGATCTTTGCTGCCAACTCCACCATGGACGTCCCCACCAACGCCCAAGTGCCGTCAATTCAAAGGGTTCCCCACACTATGCGGGAGGTAACATTCAGGCATAAGACCGTAAGACGAGTGCTCTTGTCGCTCGACATCAACAAAGCTTCTGGTCCGGACTTGATTCCTGCCATTGTACTGAAGAGATGTGCAGCTGAGCTTGCTCCAGTTCTTTCGCGTCTCTTCCAGATATCTTATGAATCCGGCGCCTTCCCAGAAAACTGGAAATTTGCTCGTGTACAGCCCAAAAAAAGGATCTAAAACCGACCCTTACAACTACAGGCCTATAGCTCTGCTTTCTGTTATAAGTAAAGTGATGGAGAGGTGCATAAATCGCGAGCTTCTGGACTACCTCGAACGTCACAGCTTGATTAGCGACAGGCAGTACGGTTTCCGGCACCAACGATCCACAGGGGACCTCCTAGCTTACGTCACGCAACTGTGGAGTAAACTCATCCAGTCTCATGGTGAGGCTCATGTCGTTGCTCTTGACATCACGAAAGCGTTCGATCAGCTGTGGCACGCTGCCCTCTTGAGCAAACTTCCATCCTACGGCCTCCCAGAAAGGCTTTGCAGATGGGTGGCTGACTTTATCTCTGGCCGCAAGATATCCGTCGTAATTGACGGATTCTCCTCTTCATCCCACAACGTCAACGCGGGTGTTCCCCAGGGATCGGTCTTGGCTCCAACACTGTTTCTCTTACATATCAACGACCTCCTTTCCTGCACGATCAACCCAATCCACAGCTTCGCTGATGACAGCACTCTACATGCAGGAATTCAGAGTGACAAGCCGATCTCTGCCGCTGAGCTGGAAAAAAGAAGACTAGCGACGACTTCTTCTCTGACAAGAGACCTGGAGGCTATCACTGCTTGGGGGCGCAACAATCTTGTACAGTTCAATGCTTCCAAAACACAGTACTGTACTTTGACGAACAAAAAGCGTCCTAGCGCTCATACAGTTTCGATGGACGGTCGAGTTCTACCAAAGAGCCATTCATTTCGGTTGGTCGGAGTCCAGATCACCAAGGACCTGATCTGGCACGAACTCATCTCTTCAATAGCTGCAGCTGCTGGGAAAAAGCTAGGCTATTTGTTTAGGGCTAAGAAGTACTTTTCTCCGCATGACCTTCTCACTCTATACAAGGCCCAGATAAGGCCTAGCCTCGAGTATTGCTCACATATTTGGGGTGCTGCCGCCCCGACTACATTGTCCATGCTCGATGCTGTCCAGAGGAGGGCGGTCCGACTGATCGATGACTCTTCTCTAACAGACAATCTCGGGACTCTTTCGCACCGGCGGGCCGTCGGCGATCTAGCTCTTTTCTATCGCTACACCAACGGGCTTAACTTTTCTGTTGAGCATACCGATTTGTCTCCTCAACTATTATGTTCAAAATTTCGTCATCAAAAAAACTAAAAAATCTCTGGTTGAGGACTGCTCTTGTTCATTTTGATTTTCGTTGTTTATTGGAAACGCATACTCATTTCTTGGCAAATCTTCTTGTACGTAATTATATGTTTTCTTCTTTTTCACTTCCTTCCGATTAATACCCCTGATTTCACTGAGTGGTATTTCATCTTCTGAACTCCACATATCCTCGTTTTGATTCTTATTTACTTCGACCTCATCTTGCATTAAGCTTCCTGGCAAGTTGTTGATATCCAGTCTTTCTTCGTCTCCAGAATCCTCGTCGGTTATGTTACCGCATGCATTAGTGGGAGGTAACAAAGCTTCAATGTCGTCATCTTCTATCATTGCTAGCGCCTCATGCAAAGAAAAACCCCTGAAACAAATGTTCCTTCTCAAAATAATTACTTATTCAAAAATAATTTACTTAAAACAATTTTATTTTTATTTTGACTATGAACATATTCGTAGCGCCTTTTTTCCTGATGAACTAAATATAGTACACCTAACTTCATCATAACCCCACAAACAAAGCGTAAATGAAACACATCATTAAATCATAAAATCTAGAAGCCGCAACTAAGGAAATAATATTTTAATAAAAATGAACTAGTTTTTTTTTTATTTCATGTCATAAAAAACCTACTTACTTTGCAAAGCGCACGCCATAATCATTCATCTTCTATTTTCCAATATACAAAAACTGATTTCACATACAAAATATTGCACAATACGCAAAATTACTCCGCACTGTACGAGATCCACCCGCAAACTGTCGCCGCGAGCTATTCAATTTAACCAAATCGTACAGATATCTACAGGAACAAACAAGTTTAGTCTGTACTATTCATAGTACATTAGGCATAAATTGGTTAAAATATGTAGGGTGCTAAAATTACCAATTATCAGTGATGTATGGAAAGATCTGTTTGAATGCTTCTTTGTATCTTTTGACTATTTTGGGCTGTTCCCGTTTTATAACTGGGCCTTTTGAACATTCCCGTTCTGTATATTTGTATTTTTTGCAGGAAACCCAATCATCGATTTGAACGGAGCTCGGCATACGGGTTTCGCCATCGCTCAAACAACAAATCGCAATGGGACCAGAGTGAGCGCGGCAAAAGCCTTCCTACGACCATTCAACCAAAGAACAAACCTTCACGTTTTGATGAATGCTACTGTTACCAGAGTTTTGATCAACAATACAACCAAACAGGCGTATGGTGTAGAAGTACTCAAACATGGCCAGAAACAACTTATATACGCCAGCAAGGAGGTTATTGTTTCTGGCGGTATGTTTTTAATGTTGAGAAATATCACTATGATCCGAATTTAACATATCTATGGTAAATACGATCCCCTTCCCACTTCAGTTGGCCCACTTCAAGATTTGCACCAAAATATGTCTTTATAAACTAAACATGGCGAAACTATTTACTTCTAAAACAATTTATTTTCTCAAAAACATTTTAGATACACTCTAGTCGTAAAAAATACATATGTGAAATCACTTAGACCTATAACTAATAGAACATCTCAATAAATAAACAATGTGCGAATAAATGCACAACAACTGAAAGATTACCATTGGGTAACATCACCTTTATTTTTTATTACGGGTAAAATTCTTTGGGGCATAGTGTTAACCAAGTTTTGGCAAAAATTTGGTGTAAAACAATCCCATATTTCTTGAAGGTTTTGTCTCAGTTCGGTGATTGTACGAGCAGGATGTTGTCGTAAAACACAAAATCTTGGCCGGATGTCAAACATTCTTCCATCACTGGTAAAAGCGATTCTTCTAAAATTGACCAATATTTGTTTGTATCCACATTTCCATCAATAAAATGAAGTTTTGCTATTCCTTTTGATGACATACTGCCCCAGACCATAATGGATGCTGGAAATTTACCTTTTCTCTTCAGACAGTCAACATGGAATGCTTAATTTTTTTGCGAATAACTCCACTGCGACTATCACCAAGACAAACTTCGAATCGGGCCTCATCACTCTATTGTATTGCACACCATTGTTGAGGTGTCCATTGTCTATGTTATTTAGCCCATTTAAGCCGATTTTTCTTTTGCACTGGAGTTACTAGTGGCTTTTCTTTGGCCTATAAACAAGTTGTGCAACTTTAGGGTTTTTACTTCACTTTTTTTCATAAGAAAACTTACCTTGCACGTGCTTAATCCCAGTTTGTAGGCCTCTCTATGAGTTGTGGACCTCGAAATTCTCCTTCCAACAGCGTCACACCACCGAGAACTTAATTGTAAATAATTGGCACGCCTGTTTTTCACGATTATTCTTCTTAATGCTCTTCGGTCGGCATTTGTGATATTACTTCTTTTCACATATCGTGGCTTAATATTAACTGGACCAGTTACGTTATATCTTCTAACAATATTTCTCACACTGTACCGCGAAGTCTAACAAAGTTGCAATTTCTGAGTTTGATTTCCCAGAATTAAACAATTTAATTATCAGTCACCGAATTTTCTCACTAATAACCTTTCCTCTACCCAGTTTGAAAACCTTAACTACCCAAAACTATTTTAAACGTATTCTGACAGCTGTGATTAATAAAAACAATTGTCATGGCTTTTATTTTTATAATAATATAATAATCATAATAAATGGGCTTTATTTCGTACCTAAGTAAAAGTACAAAAAAGGCGAAGTGTCGCTAAGATTAGCGTTTTTCAACTTAACCTTAACCTTAACAAAAAAATATATATATGTAATAAAACATTCTACCAACAAAAATGTATCCATAATTCTCAATAATTACTAAATAATTAACAACACAGAACAATTACAAGAATAGTCCATATTTCCTGCATTTTGTACTCATCATCAGACCTCGACTTGTAGTTTTAGTTTAAGCCTCTTTTTAAAATTAAATAACGTATAGTTTTGGAATGTAACAGGCAGATCATTGTATAATTTAATAGCATTGTAGCTGAATGATGTTTTGTAGACAGCCTTAGAATGTAAGGGTATCACTAACATATTCCTATTCCTTGTATTCAGTTGATTTATGTCACTACATCGTGTTAACTTATTATGCAAATATTGTGGTTGTTTTGTAGCTAAAACCTTATGTGTGAGTGTCAATAAGTGAAGCTTTTGCATGCCTTTAATCTGCAGAAAACCAAGTTCCTTAAATTTATGAGAAATATGATCAAACTTTCGTATTCCGCAAGAAAACCTGATGCACGAATTCTGAATACGCTGTAATTTGCTTTGTTCACTATATGATAGAGCTGCGCCATATATACTGTCACAATAACTGATTTTTGATATAATTAATGTTTCACACAGTTTCAGCTTTACTGAAGTAGATATTATTTGCCTATGTGGATAAAACTGTTTCAAAATGCAGTATGATGCACTACATAACGAATTTACGTGTTTTTTGTATTTTAGTTCTGTGTCAATCCAGAGTCCCAGGTTTTTACACTCATTCATTATAGGAAGCTGGCAATCATAGATTTTAAGGTTAATTTCCGTTTCGATCAATGTTCTTTTGTTTTTTGAGCCGAAAACCATAACTGAAGATTTAGATGGATTAATTTTTAGGTTATGCGAGCACGAGATGTCTACTAGCCTTGTTAACTCTTCGTTGAGCAATGCTTCTGCAATTTTAAAATCTTTGTGTTGAAAACTAAAATAAATTTGAGTATCATCAGCATAGTGATGGATTGTGCAATTATGGACATATTGATGGAAATCCGATATATATAGAGAGAAAAGTAAAGGTCCCAGTATGGAACCTTGTGGAACACCAAAACTTATAGCAGTTGACTGTGACATTTTCGAAGCTGTTAAGACCTTTTGATTTCTATTTGACAAATAGCAGCTTATCAAATTGACTGCAGCATCAGTAAAACCATAGTAAGACAGCTTAAGTAGCAGAATTTCAGGGTCTATCATATCAAAAGCTTTTGTGTAATCCAGCAGAACTAAACAAGTGATATTTCCTTGGTCAAGGCCTCTTATAACATCATCAGTGACATTGGCTAGAGCAGTTGTTGTACTATGGTTTTCCCTGAATCCAGACTGCATTGATGGAACTATTTCATTACTGAAAATATACTGAGATATTTGTATCTTCATTTCCCGTTCCAAAAGCTTCGAAAATCCGGGAAGTAAGCTGACTGGTCTAAGTTGCGTTACAGACGTGGGAATCGCTGCTTTAGGAATAGGTATGATGATAGCCTGCTTCCAAACATCAGGGAAACATGATGTTGATATTGCATGATTGATTATAAATGTAATATGGTCTAAGAGCAAAGTGAAAATGTATTTTATCATAATGAGTGCGATTCCATCAGCCCCTACAGCATTAGTTTTAATAAATGAGAAACTCTTCGCAACAGATTCTTTGGCAACCATTTGGAAACAGAATGACTTGGGAAACTTATTGTTTTGATATTTGTTCAGTAGTTCTACTTGCTTTTGTGTCTTGGTTATGATCGGAATATTTGAGAAATGTGAATTTATTTCATCTGCGTCATTGAAGCTATCTGGAAGAGTATTTATAGAGGACTTAATTATATTAAGTTTCCTAAGAGAACTCCATATTGCTTTACTGTTCCTCCCAGATAGGATATATTCCATATAAGCCTTTTTCTCTCTCCGCAGAGCAGCAGCAGCGTAATTACGGAGTTCTTTATAATAGTTCCAGTGGGCAGTTTACTTACTTCTTTTAAACCTTAGATACGCTTTATCTCTAGCTTTATTGATCATTTTGATATTGTATGTTAGCCAAGGAGCTGGTGGCTTAGTAACTCTAAGTGTTCTCATAGGTGCACAATTATCAAATAAATTTAGTATGTTGCTATTTAAAAAATTTACCATGCCATTAACGCTGTTTAATTGAAAAATATCATCCCAATGAGTCGAATGAAATAAATCATAAAAGGTACGTTCATTAAAGTTACGAAAGTCCCTAAACGTGTAAAACTTCTGCGTCCGGTTGCTTAACGCTTTATGGAGGTGACAAACAACAGCTGAATGATCAGATAACTCATGAACTGGTACAACATTGCGGTTTCTTACATTTTCTCCATCTGAGCAGATAATAACATCTATCACAGCCACCTACGCGTTATAGACTTATTTTGCATTGAAATGAAAATAGGTTGATATGCTGTAATTGCAACATGTGTTATTTTTATGCTGCAAATTTGATTAGGGAGTGATAAAGTTGGTGTTTTCTACTATATATTATCAAAATATTCATTGTGAATATGTTAAACCTATAACACCCTGCTACATATTTATTATTTGTGTTTGATAAGAAAAAAACTAAGATTTTAATAGTTGGGCCTACTGAAGTGGGAAGGAGCTCGTAAATGGCAGTGATAACCAATTTTGCTTCCGCTGCACAGTTCCAGTATATCTCAAACAAACAAATCATGTTATATTCTGTGTTCGACAGTTCTGTGGACAATGCACAATTTTGACAGATTCGATGGAAAGGCGAGCAGTTCATAACCTCATATGTTTCAAAGTTGAGACATTTATCTAACTGCTTGTAGGATTCGTCAAAAGGAGTTGATATACCTAAAATCACCTATATAAAAGTTGCATAATAAAAGAAATATAAGAATGTATACTTTAATGCATATCGGAAAAAATGTTTCATTTCTTTGTTTTTTTTTTTAAATTTTATTCCCAACACGTAACACCCAATCACAGGAAAAATAAAAGAGAAAGCTACATATACTTAGTGACATATAAATCCGAACACCCAGTTTAAATGGTTTTATTTTAATAAAAGTTGGTGAATGTATTTATCTTACTGTAAATAACAAGTGAAAAATTTTTCAGCCTTATCAGTTGGACATTCCGGTTTTTATATATAAGAAGTGTAGACACTGTGGTTAGGTGTTGTCAGGCACGGCTTCGAGAAGGCGGTACGCAAAGAGCAAGGGGCATTGGACGCCGCCGTAGAACAACAGACCGTGAAGATCGCCGCCTAAGATTATTGGCCTTAAGGGACCGTTTCTCCACTACCAGGTCCATTGCAAATGAATGGTTTGCAGAACACGGAAGACCTATTGGCATGCGGAGTGTTTACCAACGAATGAGAAGTTTTGGCTTGTTTTCATACCGGCCACACTGGGTCCTCCCTTTAACTCGTGAACACCGACGTAATCGCCTTGAGTGGTGTAGACAACGGTCACTCTGGGATCAGAAATGGAACAGTATTGTCTTTAGTGACGAGTCTCGATTTTGTTTAGGTATGCACGATGGTCGTGCCAAGGTTAGAAGGCGACGTGGTGAA